AACAGTATTGGGTCTTCCTCTTGACTGGCAATGTCAGAAATTGTTGACCTGAGTCCCCTACAGCTCAACATAACAGCATGGCTTTACTTCTTATACTTCGTTTTTATACTTTTCTGCTGGATGGTTAAGACCAAAATAAAGCAAGACCTATATAACAAGAGTTGTAGCTTTTGGATCTGATAAGATCAGTGAAATCCATTCAGGATTTATCCTGAGATCCTGTACCTCAGATTGTAGATCCTATATCAGTGTCAGCCATGTGGATGAGTCATGGCCATTGCGTGGCCAATGTGCTCTCTGTGAAAGCCTGAGAGAATGTTTTCTCTCCATGTGACTCTCCTTAGGCACACTCTACATCATTAATCATTTTCCTCTTTGGCCCCATAATCTCCTTGATCAGAAAATTTGGACACTACTGAGTTACATGACACTACAGTACAAGTTCTCATATGTCCTGAGTCTTAATTGATCTTGGATAGCTAGGGCCAAAATGTTGGCTTTCCGTGCGGCCCTCCTTTTTTTTCTAATTTTGGTCTGCAAATTTAGGTTGTTAACCCTCCAGAAGAGAAGCTTATTGTTATTAGCATACAACCTAGGCTGTTAAGCTTAACCTCACTATCTGTCCAAATGTCAAACATCTTAGGCATAACATGAAACAGGTATTTTTCATCAAGTATTGATATGTTGAACTTTGAGGTATATTCTTAATGCTGTGCTTACTCCTCTTGTTATCATGTGACCTTTGGTCCTGTCTGGAGCCTTGTCCTGACAACCACTGTAGCTGGGCCCCACCTATCAGGTTTTCAGGGAGGAGGAGCTGGGAGCCTTGGCACTGCGGCTTTTTCCCCCTTCTAGAAGCAGGTGGTCCCCTGGAGTAGAATGAAGGTCACCAGCCCCATTTCTGTGACATTCAGGATGAGTCGTTGTCTCAGAAATGACCCTTGTGGGGAGGATGGTGGTGGCCCCTATGGCTTGGATTTCCCCTTCTGTGTCACCACCATCATTACTTGGCACATGGGGTCCCCCCATCCTCCTTGTGGCAACTGGGAGATGAATACTTTTTCCATTGGCTCACCAAAGGTTTATTCTTTGGGATAAAGAGATCTTTGCATAGGGAACTCGGCTGTGAAGCTTAGGAGAAGCAAAAGTAAACCTAGCACCCTGGGAGGCTGAGGCACGAGGATCATATGTTTGAGCCCAGCCTGGACAACTTAGTGAGATCCTGTCTCAAAATTAAAAAAAAATCAGACTGAGGATGTAGCTCAGTGCAAAGGCCCTGGCTTCAATATCTACTATAGAAGAAGAGAAGAAACAAAAGAATAAACTTTTGTAGACGTGTACACATATGCATACCCATGTGTACACAGCCCAGAAACCCATTGGTGCTCCCAACGACCTAGGCTCATTGGAGGTCCCATATCTCTGGGCTTCTGAGTACTGAGCTGTAGGCCATGTGTCCTTTGCTTGTCCATCACCTTGGGTCAGTCCTGCTCTTAGGACATGTAGATTTTTAAAAAATTTTAGAGAGATTAAAAAAAGACTAATATGATAACGAATTTCAAAACAAGATGATAGAAAATTAACAGTGGTTATTATATTATATATTATCTTCAAAGCAGTTGTTCTGATTACAAGACACAGGCATGCAAAACTGATCAAACAAGATAAGGACTAACTGTTCATTTTAATGAACTAATAGAAGTTAGTAATACAGTTGTTTTAGCTATCTTATGTGTGTGTATATATATATTTTTTTTTTCTGTATTTTTTCCTTCCTTCTTTTCTCCTTTTCCCCATCCCAGTTGTTCTTTTTTTTTCAGCAGTTTCCTTCCCTTTCACAATATCTATTGTACTTTTTGGATCTTATTTACACTTTTAGTTTCTTTCTGTTTTTTTTTAAAGTATTTTTTTTAATTTTATTTATTTATTTATTTATTTGTGTGTGTGTGTGTGTGTGTGTGTGTGTGTGTGTGTGTGGCCAGCTCAGCCCACCAGGGGGCAGGGCTGGCTGGCATGTGGTGCTGGGGGATTGAACGGTGGTCCCTTTGTTTTTGCTAAGCTTGTTCTAAGTAGGTGCTTTAGACCATTGAGCCATCTCACCAGCCCCTACACTTTTAGTTTCTTATCCTAGGAAGATAATATGGTTACACATACCAGTCTAATTTATTTCACTTATGAGTATGGTCTCCGCTTGCATCCATTTAAATATAAAAGCCTAGAGTTTATTTTTCTTTATAGCTGAGTAGTGCTCCATTGCATGAAAATGCCACATCTTTTTTTATTTATTCCTCAGTAGATAGGCATTGGGTTGTTTCCAATATTCAGCTATTTTTGGACATTAGGCATAAGAATTGCCTTCTCAGCTCTTAACATACTGCCATCGTGGCTGGCTTGCTTTCTTTCTTTCTTTCTTTCTTTCTTTCTTTCTTTCTTTCTTTCTTTCTTTCTTTCTTTCTTTCTTTCTTTCTTTCTTTCGGAACCGGGGATTGAACTCAGGCCCTTGCGCTTGCCAGGCAAGCGCTTATTCTACTGAGTTATCTCCCCGGTCCTCTTTCTTTCCTTCTTTCTTGTATTTTATTTAGGGAAGGGTCTGGGTCTCACTACTAGATTGGACTTGTAGTGATCCACCTGTTTACAGGTGTGCGCCACCATGCCCAGTCTCAATTGACGTTTCAGGGTACCCAGGGGGCGGGGCCAGCACCAGCAGGCCCGGGGATTGAACCCCTTACCCCTGCTCCTGCTTGCATGTGCTTTAATCCGCTGAGCTATTTGGCCAGCCCCATCATGGGTTTCTTTTTTTTTTAAAGTTTATTTATTTGTGTGTGTGTGTGTGTGTGTGTGTCCAGCTCAGCCCACCAGGGGGCGGGGCTGGCTGTGGTGCTGGGGGATTGAACTGCCGTCCCTGTGCTTTGTTAAGCTTGTTCTAAGTAGGTGCTTTAGACCACTGAGCCATCTCACCAGCTCCCCCATCATGGGTTTCTTCACAGTTCTTTATTCACGTTTTCCTCTCCTCCCAGCCCTATCCTCACTGTCCACATTGTGGACACCCACTTCAGTGTGTTTGATTTTCTTAGAACTTGTATGTATCGTTGTACAGATTTCATGTTGGCTTGTGTGTCTGTGTCTGTTAGTGCAAACTGGGTGCATTTTCCTGTGCCCCATTTACACTGTTTGTCACCTCTGCGTAGTAGTTTATAGCTCACTCCCAGGGTCTGGATTTTAGTTATTTTCCCATTTTTCTCCATATTGATGGAGAAATAGCATCTTTTTCATATTTAAGTTGCATCTTTATAATTACCAGCCAGTAGCTACTTTGTATGTTCTTTAGTCTTTCAGGCCTCTTGGGAATTATCTGTTGCTTACTTTTTTTTTTTTTTTGCAGAACCAGGGATTGAACTCAGGCCCTTGCGCTTGCCAGGGAAGTGCTTATTCCACTGAGCCATCTCCCTGGCCCTGTTGCCTACTTTTCTCAAGAATACTTGCCTTTTTCTTTTAGCTGTTAATCCCTTGTTGGTTTTAGATGCTGCATATATTGCCTTATTGCCCTCAGATGTAACTGCGCCAGTGCTGTACTGGCTGAACAGAAATCTTGCCATTCTGTTGTCATCATTTCTAGTAATTTTTTTCTTTTTATATAAATTACTTTATTAATATAGCAGTGATAAATGTACCTTAGAAGAAAACAACTCTTAGCAATATTATGTTAGATAATATAAACAGTACACTTTAGGTAATATGACAATAATGTACACTATTTGTATTATATAAAAATAAACACTTTTTTTTTCAAATTGGTAGGACAGTTTCAATAATTAACACACTGCATACATTGTTCTTAGTGGTTAATTGCTGTACAAGATGCGGACTTGATATCCTATTTACAAACACCATTAGAACAAATCATTCTATTCATTAAGAGAATGTAACTATATATCTATACTAACCACTTTGAATACACAGATACAAAATGGACATTCATCTGTATACCCTTTTTTTGTTAAGTTCTGTTATTTGAATATTATAGGTGTGTAAACTCAGCAAAATATTCTAAAAGAGTCCAATATTTCTAGTAATTTTTGATGTGATGAAGCGTGGTTTGGGGGGGTCTTGTTGAGGAAGGCTTTGCCTAGAGCTTGTGGGCTGCTTGGTCTCTCCTCTAGTAATGTTCCTAATCATCTCTCTGGGCTTGACACTAGACTCATCTGGGTTCCCTGGGTCGGGTTCCCTGAGATCTGCAGGTGTTTCTTATCCCCAGTAGGGGAAACCCTCCCCAGCCCCAGTCCACAGAAATCTAGCCTTTGGCTCTAGATGGGCGCTGGGGAGAGCACAAAGGTTTGACCTTTTTTTGGGTGCAGCTGTTGGAGCTGGTACATGGGGTGGGGGAGAGAGAAATGGCACCTGGTCCAGATCCCTCCTGTCCTCTAGGCTCGTGGTGGCCGTGGAGGAGGCCTTCACTCACATTAAGCGACTGCAGGAAGAGGAGCAGAAGAACCCTAGAGAGGTGATGGACCCCCGGGAGGCAGCCCAGGCCATCTTTGCATCCATGGCCCGTGCCATGCAGAAGTACCTGCGGACCACCAAGCAGCAGCCTTACCACACCATGGAGAGCATCTTGCAGCACCTCGAGTTCTGCATCACGCATGACATGACACCCAAGGTAAACCTGCTGCTCCTGCGTCCTTCCTCTTTCCCAACTTCTGCACTTCCTCTTTCCCACCTTTGACCTCTTCTCTCCGCTCTGTCCCTCCCTCCCTCCCTCCCTCCCTCCCTCCCTCTTCTTTCTTATCTCTACTTCCTTACAGTCTCTTCTCATGTCTTTCCTGTCTCCTGGAGTGAAGTTAAGAGTGGTGGATCAGGTAAGGGAGGGAAACACTCAAAAACCATTTGGGGCTGGTTGATACCTATTTCTTAGAACATTGTAATTTCTAAAACCTGAGTCCCACCTTTCCCTCCTTGGCCCCCTTTACCTCCACCAGGTGATCTTTGACCTATGCATACCTTTAGCCATTGTCCACTCCTCAACTTCCTAGAAAGGCTTTGGCTGAGCTGTCCTTAGTGAACAGGTGACTGAAGGTGTTGCCCTGAGAGCTTGACCCCCTCCCAGCTCCCACTGGCATGGCACTAACTGTATAAGCCGTGTGGGAAGGAAGGGTGAGGGAGAGTTTGTCCAGGTCACAGCCTGTGCAGGCAGAGCCGGGGATGAGAGCTGGGGAGCTGAGTTCCAGCCCTGACTCTGGAGCCACATGATTTCTGTGGGCCCTGTCTGCCTCACCTACAGAGCAGTTTCTGCTCTGACAGTCTCAGGTCCCGGTTCATACACATAGAGTAAGCTCAGGGGACATGTCCTTGGAAGCTGTGCCCAGGGGATGGAGGATGGCAGGTGGCAGTATTCAGGCAGCCCCCTCTCCTCTCTTCAGGCCTTCCTGGAGCGGTATCTAGCGGCCGGACCTACCATCCAGTACCATAAGGAGCGCTGGCTGGCTAAACAGTGGACACTGGTGAGCGAGGAGCCGGTGACCAATGGGCTTAAGGATGGCATCGTTTTCCTCTTAAAACGCCAGGACTTCAGCCTGGTGGTTAGCACCAAGAAGGTGCCATTCTTCAAACTCTCCGAGGAATTTGTGGATCCCAAGTCGCACAAGTTTGTCATGAGGCTGCAGTCGGAGACCTCAGTGTGACTGTGCAGCAGCAGGGACTCCAGGGCTCTTGTGGGGTGGGAGGGGCCCTGGTTCTCAGGCCCCAGCCTTGTTCCCACTGCCCTTCTTCCTCTTGCTCTTGTTTTTACTTGAATTGACTTAACTCCTCACCCTGTCTCCTCCCTCTTCTGCATTTTACACCATGTGAACCTGGAGAGACCTTCCTGCTGTTGGCGGTACCTGGGGGACCTGCCCTTCATTTGTGTATCACTCTGGGCCCTGCAGGAATCAGTGCCTCTCTCTCTCCTTCCCCGAAGCTTTCCCCAGATGACAGTCCTTTCTGAAAGGGCACAGGGAGCTCTAGATTGTACCTGTCCCTCCTGAGCGCCACTCACAACCCAATTTCTGGTAGCATTCTCAGTTCTTGACAGGGTTGGGGGGGGAGGCACCAGTATGACCCCAGAGAGCCCTAGTGCCAAATTCCGCCAAGGCAGCAGCTACCTTCCTCTACCCATAACAGACCCTGAGTTCCTGGGCAGAGGTGCTCCTGCTGCACCCGAGTTAGGACTCTCCCTGCAGCACTAGTGCTTGCAGCTGCTGTTCCCCATGCACTCACCTTAGAGCGAGGAAAGATCCCGTCCTTTACCCGGAAGTCTCCACCTGCCATTTCTGATTGCATGGTCATGTGTGATCCCAGCATTTGGAGGTGGAAGGCTTCTGACCATTTCACCAGGGCCCTGCAGAAGGTCCATAGGGTCAGTCTCTCCTAGACAGCTCCTAAGGAGGAGGGGACACATCCTGAGTTGGGAGAGACCCTTGCGTTGACCCCTGCCCTCAGAACCCTCCCTGGCCTTTGCTCCCCATGAAGGATGGGATGCAGACTCCTGTGTAGTCTTAGCAGTGTGCTGACCCTGACAGACGGTTTTCCTTCCTGCACCAGCCTCCCCAGGCTTGCTGACTCCTTTTGGCTCCAGAGACCTGTTGCCTCATCTCTGTGGGGGAGGAGCCAGCTCCCCCTGTCCCCTGCCTTAAATCCAGTTTTTTGCCTCAGGGGTCTCTTTTCCTTGGCCTTCCAGGGTCCCCTCCTCCTCTCTTTCTGCCTGGTTCTCTGGGCTCTCTGTGGGGTCAGGGACCAAGATTATTGCCTTCTGTGGGCACTTAGCCCCTTGTCCCATTTTACTTCCGTGGCTTTAGTACCAAGTCCAAATTCTCAGTAGTTTGGATCACATTCTGAACAAAATTCTCTGACCCGCTAATACATCTTTTTGGAGTGAATTGGAACCTTTTAACTGAAACAGCCCTAAATTATGTAGTTTTCACCAAGGGGACTAGAATAGGAAACACCTGTATACATCCTTCTGGTTCCATATGGAGGACTGTTCTGGTAGGAGCCTGTGCCAGGATCAGGCCTCCAAATGACTCACAGTGCCCCTGATGGGTCCTCCTTTACCCTAGAAAATGTACTGGTACTTGCCTTGCAAAGCACACTTTGGGATAAGCTAACCTTTGATCTCTCCCCTGGGAGCCTGTTTCCTCACTGTAGGAGCAGCCCAGGGCTGACATAGCCTAGCAATTGATCAGGGTTTTTCTACTGTCCTTTATAAAAGGGCACCTCTGTCCACCCACATTCACTAGCGAGGGGTGAGGGGCTCCTCAGCCCCAGCTCAGCTCACCTGGTGCCCGCAGGAATGGCTTGCAGAGTTGATTTAGGCAGAGGCTGGGTGAAGGTCGGCCTTGCGCTAAGGCTGGGGGAGTCTGTGGATAGGCCTGGGTGAAATGCATCCTACATTGGGCATCCTGGGGAAACTTTATCTTTTCATTAACAATCTGATTTCAGAGGAGTCCCTACTGGGTCACATAAATACCTCACTATCCTGGAGAACAGGGCCTGGATGGTGATTGGGGTCTTTGCCTTGGTGGGCAAGAGGGGGTGAGGTGTGGTTTGAGGAATGGGTTGGGGTGGGCAGAAGGAAAGGAATTGGGATCTTAGTTGTTGCCCTAGATTTAGGGGCGGGGGAGTGTTTATTTTAAGAACCTGCCATGTTTTTAATCACTGTGATTTTTTTCATTCTTTTTTCCTAAAACAAGAAAAATGTTTTCCCCCAACTCTCTCTCTCTCTCTGTAAGCACTAAGGGCTGTGACTGAGAATGGTAGCATTTTGGTCCTTTGCGTCAGAACTGTGGTATCTTTGTCTTCTCTGGTTATTATTATTATTATTATTTTTTAAAATGTCAGGATGGTTCATCCGGTGCGTGTGTGTGCGTGTGTGTATGTGTGTGTGTGTGTGTGTGTGTGTGCGCGCGCGCGAACGCATATGTGTGTGTGTGTTGCTTCCCTTGTACGGGAAGTTGTCTTCATGCTGTGAACTGCTGTGGATGGGCAGCCACCTCAGGCCCTCTGAGCTGTTTGCCCACCAGGCCCGTCCCACCACTCTCTGGGCTTCTCCCTCTTCCGTGGCAGGGCTATACCCACCACGGGCAGCCCCCAACACAGGGATGCTGTGCTGCCCCTCCATTGCTTTTGTTTCTGTGACTATGTGGCTCATCCCCCTACTCAGACTTGGAATGCCTGCCCCCCCTCTCCCTCCACACCACCACTGGGTGCCTCAGTCCTTCGCCTACCTCACCACACTGCCCTGTTTCCCTGGCCCCTGTCTGTCTCGTACACCAGCATTTATTCCCTCTTGTTTATTCAGATTTATGTCCCCTTGCTCTCTGCCTTCTGCCCTGGCCCTCTACTTCATCCCTTGAGGTTTTGCTTCCTCAGCATTCTCGTTGCAAACCCCAGTACAATGCTTGTGATGAATAAATGCTGGGATCCCTGGAAGCCTTCTCTTTGGAAACACCCATGTCCCCAGGGTTTGTGCTTCTCCTTGGTTCTGGGCTGGGATGAGCTCCCCTGTCCCTTGCGGTGTCAGTCTCTTCCCTTTCCTGTGCCCTCCCTGTGGGGCAGTATCTGCTGATTAATTCGGACCTGGTGTGTGAGTGTTGTGATTGTTGTGTGCAAAAAGGGAGCTTTTTGAGCCCCTTCCAAGTGAGACTGCAAGTGTAGAATTTTCCACTGTTGGATCTATATTTTTTGGTTTTGTTTTGTTTCCAGTTTTCTTTTCTTTCTTTTTTTTTTTTTTAATTTCTTTTTTGGTTACAGAGCTGAGACCTTGTGCATGCATGTAGAAAATTGTAAAATGTAAATTTTTTTTAATATATAAAAAGCTTGTTTTTACAGTTTGCAGTGGATCTAAACATTATGGCAATTTTAGGGACTTTTTTTCTTAAACATAGAAACTGAAACTGTACAAAATTTTTTTTATATATAAAATAAAGACATTTGACTTTTGTGGGGGCATTCTGTTGCTTTTCTTCTTTCACAGGAATAGGAGCATAAGGTCGGGAAAAGGGTTATACCCTCGCTGGGCAACGAGCAGGCAGCAGGGGGCAGTGTGAGCTCAGCTGAACCTCGAGGCCTCAGGCTGTGTTGCTGAGCTGAGGGAAAAGTGGACCGGAAGTTGCTTGTTCTCAACCTAGATTCTGAAGAGAGGAAACTGAGAAGTGGTTGTCATCCTGTAGGGCAAGCTTCTGTCTGCTTGACCTCTACATGAAGGGCAGGATGAGGAGTTTCTAAAATGTCTTTCTAAAAGAGAAGTGCAATTTGAAAACTGTGCCTAAATCTAAAAAAAGTCCTCATAAGCTGCATGGTGTGTTCATGGGCAGGGTGTGGACTAGCCCTGGCTCATTCCAAGTGGGAGCATTTCCTCCTTCAAGATACTGAGGGAGCTTTAGGACCAAGATGGGAGAACCCAGTCTGCTTGAGATTAGTTTTGTTCACCTAAGTGTTGCTGGCGTGTATTCCAGCTCCTCACATACAGATGGTGCTCAAGAAAAAAATGGAGGCCGAGGGTGGTAGTGCATGCCTGTGATCCAGAGACTGAGGCAGGAGGATCGCTGTGAGTTTGAGGCCAGCCTCCTTGCTACAAAGTGAGTTCAAGGCCAGTCTGAACTATACAGTGAAACCTTGTCTCAAAAAATAAAATAAATACTGAACGATGAACAGTAGATTGAACTTTCAATTCAATAAGAGAACGTCAAGAGGATCACACACTTGCTTATTTTCCTCTTAAAATTGTGCTCAAGTGTTTTTCACAGGAAAACAAAGACACACCCCACACTCGTGGTTCTGGCCTTTTTATAACCAGCCTAGTGGAAGAATTGTTTTCTGTCTGCTGTTTTCACTTCACCTCAGTCAGCTTTTGACTTCCTGTGGCCAAATTTCTACCCTAGCATGCCTTTGAAATTACTCTTGAAGTACAATAGATGCCTCTTAGTACAGTGAGCCTTTGTTCAGTGCCTGTGATGTTCTCAGCTGGTACTGAGGTGCTTTGGCTGGTAAAGCTGTTGGCTGTGGTCCAGTCCGCACTGAGCAGCCTCTGTGGGCCTTGGAGTCTGTGTGTAACATCGCGGACATCTCCCCACAAGTGGGTACACTGAGGGCTAGACCTCAACTTTCTTTAGGAGTTTACTGAAAGTAAAAGAGAATCTGTCATGTAATGTGGCATTGGTGACCGTTAGCTGAAAAGGTGCTGTGAATCTGTGGAAGTACCTCAGTGCTGTAACCCAGCCCTGTGAAGCTGAAGTGGATGACGCCAAAAGTTCTAACCCTGCTTGGGAAATTATTTTCTGAGAGCCTGTCTCAAAAAAAAAAAAAAAAAAAAAGTGTGTGTGTGTGTGTGTGTGTATGCACATGTGCATGTGCATGCAGCTCAGTGCAAAACGCCTTGGATTCAATCTCCTGTACTATGAAAAACAAAACACCAAATACTGCTTTCCCTTCTAGACGTAGAGCTATCAAAGATAGTACTAGATAGGTATTTGGAACTGGGGGAAAAAAACCAATGAGAAACGACATGCTGTTTCTCCCGAATCCCTTAAACTGTTACTGGTGCTGGGGAATCTGACAAAAACAACTACAGAGGAAAAGGAAGGTCTGATGGTCGTACACCACAAGAGCTGAAAATTTGCATGAACCGACTTAAATGTGTCAGGAGATAAGGTGGTGGTTTTTGCTCATTTCAAGTTCCTGTTAATGCCAGTTCTTTCATATATGAATGTGTGATTTCAGGGTTGGATAGACCTGGGTAGTTTTTACTGTAATGAAGAATGGCTGCTGGAGTGCTGCTTGTCTTCTGCCAGTTTACTTCTGTCCTGGCACGGTATCTTGGTCCTCAAAGGCAGAATCCAGGGACAAAGAAGGCAGGCAGAGCCCACTTCCACATCAGTTCGCTGTGGATGGTTGATTGCGTTTTCCAAGACTGGTGTGACCAGCAGCACTTCTGACTTGGAACATAGCAGAGCACTCTTGCTTTATGAGCTTGACATGTTCAGGTGGTTTTTAGTGTGTCTTGAACTAGGTCCCCAAAGCAGAGCTTTTCAGATTTCATTTGTGCATATAGTAGATGTACTCCTCACTTGATTGTCTTGTAAAACGCAGATACTGATTCAGCAAATACAAAGTAAGACCCAAGACTTCCTGAATAGGTGCCTGGTGTCTTCATTTCCATGACAAAATATCTTAGGCTGGGTGACTGAAACAATGAAAATTCAATTTTTTTTTTTTGCCAGCATCAGATTTATTTATTTATTTTTAAGGCTTTGTCAGGCTAATTATCATAAACATAGAATGACCAGACTAAAAATACATATAACATGATTGTACTAAATCAAGTCACATTCAGATACCTTGGCCCTGTTTTATAACAGTAACTGGTTTTCAATGTCCGTTTTATTTTTACTTTTTTTTTTTTTTTTTGTGGAACCGGGGATTGAACTCAGGCCCTTGCACTTGCCAGGGAAATGCTTGCTCCACTGAGCCGTCTCCCCGGCCCCTCCGTTTTACTTTTGACTTTATTTGTGTATCGGGCTTCTCACGTAAGAGAAATCATGTGGTATTTAAGCTTGTGTGCCTGATGTACTTCTCTTTTTAAAATTTTATATTTTTTCTTTTTATTTATTTACAGAATCTCAAAACAAGATTTTAGGAGAGTAACAATGGTTACTACATTATGTATTATTACTGCCAAAGTAGTTTCTCATATTACAAGATATAGGCAAGAAATAATAA